GGGTTTCCCCCTTATCTGCTTTTAATTTACACGTCTAGAAAACGATTGAAATTTTTAATTTAGCTTTTAATTTAAATAAAAATTATGTGATTTTTAAATAATAACAATCTAAACTTGGGATGTAAGTTTATCCAGAGGAAAAGTAACAAAGATTTATCAATAATTAAAATATCAATAAACATTTAATTATATTTTAAAATACCTATTGAAAATGGTTATTATTTTATTTACCTTTTATTCTATTTATTTATATTGATCTTTGCATCATATATCCATATAACACTTCTAATCAAACGTTTTTATAGAATTTTAATAAAACTATACAATCTTAGAGTTTACCTTTTTGCAGTGTAAAAATAAAACTCTTCACTTGAGCATAGCAAAAGGCTAACATCTGCTACCGAATGGCTACGAGACTAAATAGGAAAAATCTGGCAGGTCGGGGAAAGCTCGACAAATGTCAATGACCTGCTGATGCCTTGGCTAGATGCTAACGAGCACGTGAGCCAAGTGTAGCGGAAAATGAGCTAATTTGTGCTGCTTTTCCTTTTGGCCAACATCGCCGGCCACGTGTGGCCCCAACTGTCTCCATTCTCTTCCAAGGAAGAAGTCAAGAAATTCTATTGCAAACATAAATCATGCTCGATGCAGGACATCAGACAGGATGAACACGCAATCAACTGTTTGTCACAAAGCAGATCGGGTGAATGGGGCTGCCACGAGTGGCTGGGTGGGTTCGGTGGGCGCTCTGCTTTCCCGCCTGTGTGAGGGGCATGTCAATCAAGCCACAAGCCACCACTCTGGCCCCACAAGCTTGGGTGTTCAACCACCATCCGCCATCCACAGACAAACAGTTAAAAGGGAGTAAACCGAAGGGAAAGGACCCAAATCGAACCAGACCAAATTACTGATGTGGGTGGTGTCAAGTTCAACTTGGAGTCGTAACGAAAGTAGTTGTCCCCTTGCAAAATAATTTACCTCTTATTTGATTTATTTAAGGAAGAAAAAAAGAAAGAATTTGGTAAAAACATAATGAAGATTATCGTACTGTCTCTTAAAAGTTAGCTTTACTTTTCGTTAATTTCGTATAAAAATTTCATTTAGGAAATTATAAACAATATCTCTAAGTGGATGGGTTTGCCTAAGAGCTATTGAGGGCAAATATATCTATAAATGCACTTAGGTTTCAGCAGAGAAAAACAATTTAATATTGCGGAAATTAGTTAATTTAAATATAATTTAGTTTTTATTTGTGTCATCCTTCTCGAAAATAGTATCCACTGAAAAGGACTCACTAGATGCAACTTTATCTCTGGTCTCCCCTTAAAGTAGGTGATAATTTATTTATCCATGTGTGTCATGCGTATTTTTCTGGGAACCACATCCAAAGCTTATATCCACTGAAATGTGAACGGCTACGAGAAGCGTTGGGGTCTGTCAGCCTGGCCAGCTGTGATGGCTGGGAACATTTGTGGCCCGGGGCCAGAACAAAGGAGAGAATCGTTTTATCTGCCACAGCATTCACTCCTTTATTTGCCAAGTGCAAATTGCAAAATGATATTAGAGCGCCGGCAAGAACGTTCGATGGCAACAGGGGTTCCATTGCTGCACCAACGGGGTTGAAAAGGCGGAGTGAAAGTGGAAAGTGCGTCCGGCACCAGCCAAGCCGGACGGGCAGCTCGTCCGTAATGAGCACGAGCAAATTTAATGTGATTTGTGTCGAAGGGTGCAACGACTGTATTATCGAGCAGGAAGCTCGGGCCCTTATTGTGGGTGGTGGCAGATTTATATTTGCTCTTGTAATTGGCGGATGGCAAAGGGGAGCTATCCCAATAAGGAGGCCATAGAGGTTTTTCCTATCGCACAGCACAGTCATTGACTTTAATGAATTATTGAGTTGGTAAATTTTTAATACTTGCAGTTGTGGTTTTTATTTTGTAATATTTGGTAGTGAATCAGATGGCTACAATACATTTTTAATCAATATCTATTAACCTTTGATTTCGGTATAATATATATTATTCATTTTGGGTGTCAGTTCCCATTTTTTATCGTCAAGATGATGAAGCTGCCTGCCATTGAAATAGTTTCTCGGTCAACTAGTCCCAAGTAAAATGAATTATAATAACTTATGACCAAAAATCAACCCCCTGGGCAACTTAACAAGGATATATGATGATGATGATGATTTTCAGAAAACACCCGAACAAAAACAAAGGCCGTCAAAGCCACAAAGAGACACTCGACCCAAGCAGATGCCCGAAGGTGTTTAGTCGACCCAACAAAAACCAGAGCAAATGTTAAGAACGACTACAAGATACCTTGTATATAATAAATTCATTTGTTTTTTTTAAGAAAAGTTCAAAAAAATATCATTTAAAAATGTAAAAAAAAGAGCAAGGAAAAGTAGGATAATAAAAGCTAGACAACATTCTATAGATACACACAGATGTTGGTTCAGTTGGATTATAATCCAATATAGATATAGATACGATGGGTTAGATTGAAACACCCTATCTGTACCCTATATCCAAATCTTACGTCTCCTTTTTCTCCTTGTCCGAACTTTAAAGTAATCCAAAACCAAACACAAAACTCCTTGTATATGAAAAATATATTAAATTAGTTTCTAAACAGCTTCTGCTTTTAAAAAAAAGGCACGAAAGTAGGGGGTATTAAAAACAAAAAACTTGTGTTAAGCGAAAGTGCAAAAGTTGTTTAAGGTTTTTCTTTTTTGTGCGCACCCAACAACCACCGAAAAGTACACAAGAAAACCTCCCAACTTTTGGATGTGGCAAAGGAAGCCAACATTGTTGTTATGATTAGCATTTTATCAGAAGATCCTTTGGCTTATCATGCCGTGTCTTAGGACAAGCATTCCAGCGTCTTTATGGTAATTTAGTTTTTGCCAAGATGCGCGGCAACAGCTGATAAAGTTGTAGCAAGTACATCCTCCCCCTAACTGAGAAGAAGAACTTTACTTCACTCCCTTAAAGTAGACAGGAAAAACTGCGTGTCACATAATCAAAATTGAGAAAAACACAACCTGCAGGGTGCTTTTCATGTTTATATGTGTGTGCGGATCCCATTAATTTATTGCCAGAGACATTGAGACACCTCCAGCCGAACAAAAGGCGACATTATTATTTCATTATTATGCCAAACGCATCAGGAGCTCTCCTCTCCAGCCATCCCAATGCACGTGAGCAGGCTCATATTACACACGGCGGCTCATGGAGGATGGAAAAGGACAGAGGCTTTTTGGAGGTGGCAGATGATTCATGCGCTGGCAAATTTTTTGACGCCCGCCACATAAATAAAACAGGCAGCCCCGGGGAGCTCAGACATATGTTTGGATAGTCCCCAGGTCAAAGGGGGCCAGGTCAGAGGCTGTAATATTTAGTCGTAAATATTTTTATAGGCACTACGGTTTCCGCTGCAGATGAACAAAGCGCGAAAAGCACACAAAGGCAGGTGCTTTGGCAAATCAAATATTTGGTGTACAACTTTTCTTAAAGTAAAATTCTAATACATTTCGGTGTAAAGTAGCTCTTAAATTAAAGATCTCTCACAATTTCTGGTCCATAAACTAATTTGATAAAAATACTTTAGATATATATTTAACAATCTGAGTAAAAATGTATTAAAATATGAATATATTTCAGACTTGAATTACAATATTTAGTGGAAATATTTACCTATGCCCTACTTTGTCTAAAAGAAGATGATAGAACTAATCGAAAACGTTTATATTTATTAAGGATAATTACAGGACTAGGCCTCTCCTAGTTAAGAAACTAATTGAAATGTTATAGTTATAAAAACAAATTAAAAAAAAAACTAGAGAGACTGGTTTTGGACCCCGCCTGGTAGTGACAATTTCTCCCATATCGTTAGGGTGTTTTCTCATAAAACAAATTAAACTTTTTCAATAACTCTTCCCTGCTCCAACATCAACAAACAATACCCACCGTTTTTACAATGAAGCTGTGACTCTGCTGCTAATCCTTTATCCATATTTACGATATGCGTGTGTAAACCATTAAGTGCCAATTAAAACGTAATTGAGGCATCCGCTGATACGAATTTTGGCATTGAATTATTTAGCTCAGCAAAGCAATTTGCACTGGCAAAACGCGGAACGAATACACACATGCCCGAGGTGATGTTATGACGGCGATTACCGTACCATTTAGGGCTTTTATTCAATCTGAGCCGCACTTCATCATTTACCAATGCACTTGTACCGCTGATTATAAACACACAGCACCGGCAGCACCACGACACAGTACACACTTGGTTTTAAGGACGTAATATCTGCGCGATGCTAGCAGCAAAACACCCGCAAATACAACCAGACTCCGCCGGCTCAGAGCAATAACTGTTATTTCGTCGGTCGTCCTTTTTGGGGAGTTTCTCTTGGTCGGTGGTACATTTCGATCAGCTGTGTTTGGGGTACAACACAGGCAGCGGAAATGGGGGTGGAATTCTTTCCAAATTGGCGCGGCTTTCACTGACTTTTACCTCGCGTAAAATTTCATACAAACTTACAGTCTCTGGACCCTTTTTTTTATTAAAACGAGATTGACGAAAGGTATATATCGAAGTGGGGAAAGTATTATTTTAAGAAATTAAAATAAGTCTATTTTGTACCATTGATTAAGTTTTAACACAAAGAAAGAGAAAGGAGTATAATTAAAATTATTATAACTAAGAATATAAAAACTAAGAATTTATAAGAATATAATAAATATTCTTCTTCCATATCTTAGAACTTGGAACATTTTCATAAAAAGTTGCTATTTTCTTATGGGAGGATTTGTTGGACAGTGTATATTATAAGTAAACATTTTAAATAACAAAATCCAACCCAAATTTTTAAATATAACGAACTTACAGGTAAAAACGGCATATTTTTCGCTCAGATTTGAGTGACCCGCATTACCTATCGTACATGGTAATCACCCTCGTTATGTATTTCTTCCGCGGTATTTATTGGCACGCTCACCACGGTCATACTGCGCGTTATAGGTTGAAGAAATCGGATTATATTCCGAATTGCTTTACAGATTTACCGACAAATTCAGATCGAAAATGCCTGCGGTTGTGCGTATAAAGCGGCGAATTGACGAAGAACCGCACACGGCCTTTGTGCTAAATGGCAAGCGGCGACGCCTTCACAACGATGAGAGCGCTGTGGACGAGGCTGGTGCAGTGGCATCAGTGGACAAGGACGAGCTGACCACCGTGCTCAAGTTTGCCGGCACGCTCGAGAAGCAGGTAAGGTTTCGGAAAAAACCTAGGATTGGGAAACGCCTAAACAGGCAATGTTTTCTGTGCTCCATAATTTAAGCATTAAGTGTAGACTATGTAAATATGTTCTTTATGCAAACATACATACATATGTACATATGTATTATGTACTTAGTTTCTGTGTAAGAATATTCCATTAATTTTAAAGCAAGAACTAGGGGCAATGAACTTACTGTTCAGTGTTGAGTCTTAGAGCCAAGCTCAATTAAGGAAGGTTTGCTTTGGAAAGGTGAATCTTATGTATCCTTTCTAATTTGGAACGTATTGTTTTAATAAACACCCTTTAATTTTTATATCTATTTCCAGGACGACTGCGCCACTCGACAATTTGCTGCTGCCAGACTGAACAAAGCCAGTGCCCATGAGTTGGTACAAAGGCAACGATCTACTGATGCAACTATTGCAACAGCATTGCGGCGGGAGCGGCAGCGTCAAAAAGCACAGCAAAATGCTCGAGAGGAAAGATTCAGAGTGGTCAACTGCCTTCGCAGTACCTACGAGGATGACGCCACGGCAATAGCCAACCCCGAAGGCCAAAATCAAGAAACCCAGCCCAGTCAAAGTCACATAACCATTGTGGACATTGAATCCCAGTCCCAACAACTACATCGTTCCGAAAACGAGAATTCGACAAACCCAGAGGAGCCGCACTCAGAGGCAGCCGTAGATCAGCAACCAGCCGACTCGGATATTGGCTATGTTTACGATCTTTATGTGCCAGAGAACGAGATGCAGGCCGCTTATGTGGATATGATGGACGACAACTATCTAAGGTTCGTCATACACATTGAGCCAGAGAAAACGTTTAGCCTACTCAATTACTATATGTAGCCGATCGATCACTTTGTGTCGTCGTCGTGGCTACCGTATCTTTGTGGGTGTGCTTGTGTCCTTGTTCATAGTACTCGGTCGAAGTCTCTCATATGCATTTTACCTTTACCATCTAGACCTAAATATAATTACTTGTTTATTGCCCAATAATATGATTCGTTCTCCATAAGGTTACATTATCCGTTTAATTACTACAACAACTGCTACTGGTAAGCACAGCACACATCAGCTATAGACAAAAGTGAGAGGGCAAAGAGAGAGAGAGAGTGGTACTGAGCCCGGGAAAGAACGATGTGTGATGATGCCTCTGAACAAACAATCCATCAACGACAATAAGGACTGCAACTGGCAACACTTTACCAAACAAACCATAATTGTGTGTATTAGACAAATGCCGCTTATTACTTGAGTTACTTCCATGATAGTTCAATGGCGTGATCAAATCCAAGAACGCAAAATGATTCCTTATTTTAGTAGCATTAAAGAAATGCATCAAAAATATTGTGCTTATAGAAAAGTTTCTAATTTTAAGTAAATGGTCTAATGTGTAAAAAATTGTTCGCAGCTAAGAAATTTCATTTTATAATTTTCTATAAAATATCAAAAATTTGCCAGCAATTACAAAATGTACTAATGTTCGGCGTGCCAAAGTTTTCAATTAGATTATTTTGAAAAATACAATCTGTTTTTGTAATTGCATTATTTGTGACAACCACATAATCCTAAGTTTATAGATTTAATTAGCTATTAAAATACATAGTAAGGTAGAGACCCAAGCACACACAAACACACACCACGCATATTCTAAACCAGGCTTCTTATTACGTTTTATTTTTGTCAGTTTTTAGTTCTCTTTGTTTTCGTAAACAAAATACAGAAAGTAATAGTGCTAAAGTCAAAGTTCTTAGTTATACATTATTGGGGTATTTTGGTGCCCGAAATCGAAAATAAATTGAATAAAGAAATCGCCCAATATATACACGACAAACCTATGTAGCTGTGTTTCAATTTCAACGATCAAAGGCTCCACAATAAACTTTACCATTCTTTCGACTATTCCGCAGAGTGATTCCTGTGGGAGAGATTGTCCTAGAGGATTGTTACAACGATCAGGACGAAGATTATGATTCGGAGGACTCTAATCAGGAAAACTATTACACAAACGATTATCCGGACGATGAGGAGGCAGCCATGGGATCAGACGATGAACTTTGCAGGCAGATGAACAAATTCATGCTGGGTAAGCTTCCACAACGTACATTTCTTTTGTGTTAGGTTTTCCAATGCATATATACTTTCAGATGATGACGGCGACGATTATGCCGACTCCAGCGAGGATGAGGACTATGCCACCTATCATGATCCCTATGTTCATACCATTGACACTGAAGCCGACAGCTTTGTGGACGATGTTGACTTCTATAATGCGAGCCGGGAGAGGGGTAGTGCCTATGAGCGATATAAGCGGCGCATCCTTAGGGAGTTGGAGGATCAGAAAGATGACGAGGATGATGATGGTAGTGAATCTTTTGCAAGTGCCGATGATGAATGAAATTAATAGAATCCTACCTCATGGAAAGCGAATTTCCTTTCTCGCCTTATGTTAACAAATAATTAAATGGCTTAATACAATATTGTTTTATATTTGGTTATTTTTTAAATTCATTTTTATGCGGTTTAAACGGTAGAGTAGTTAATTAACTAATTTCTTAACTGAGACTGGATGGCTTGTAAAAATTATTTATAGTTTTTTCTTTCTTTCGATTTCTCAGTTTTTACCTGTTGAAGCTGCGGCTTCGGCGCACATCCTTCCATATAAAGTCTGAGAGTCTCTTCGTCCATTTTTTCGTTTTCCTTTGGAGGTTTGTAGTCCGCCACATGATCCACGCGCAGCGTTCTGTCGATTATCTTAATGCCATTCAGATTGTCTACGGCTAGAACCGTTGATCTTTGGTCCTCGTAGCACAGGAAACAAAAGCCCTGAATGAATATAGTATTGTATATCTAATTGAGAATGAATCTCGGTAAAATCGGAGTAATTATCTCACCTTGGACTTGCCCGTCTTGGAATCACGAACTAGATTGATGTTGACAACTTCTCCGTACTGCGAAAACACGCAGATCAGATCGCCCTCCGAAAGTGTGTAAGGGAATCCCGCGACAAATATCCAGGCTGAATCCCGGTACATGTCGTGCCAGCTCTTCTTGCCTCCATGTTGTAACTCGTGCTCGCTCAACTTGAGCACATTTTTCATGTTAGTTAAAGGATTCATCGCGAAATGAAGTTATTTGTTTATAATTTTGCCGCAGTGAGGCATTTGTTTAAAAAGTATATTATGTACAGGAAGGCAGGTACAAACGCGTTTTAGCAATGCAATGGAAATACTGAATAATACTCAAACTGTATTAAAAATTTGGTATATAAATTTTTGGTATAAAATAAGTTAGTATATTAATTCTTAAAGACTTCTGCAGCTTTTTGTAAATACCTAGTTAAATAGCGAAATCACTATAATGTTCTAAAAAACAAGGCAAATAGAGTGTGTAAAAAACCTGTAATATTAATATAATCAAATAAATTGTTTTCTTAATTGGTATATTTTTAAAACTTTTGTAAAAAAACCAATTTGGTATATTGCAACGGCCTGCACGCAGTCACACTATTTCCAGCTCCGCCGCACATTTGTTGTCGCGTTGTAAAAGGCCGTGGAAGCCAGTTAATTGTGCAGTGAAAAATGTAATACTAATGAGTGTTCAGTACAGTGATCTATTTCACTAATAAGGTGTGTACGGATGCCGAAAATTGCGCTTTTCGCTGGATTACACAGCTTTTATGAGTGTGCGTGCGTGCGGGTGTGTGTGTGTGTGACCGTGTACGTGCGTGTCGAGCAAAAGAAACAAGATAAGCTGAAAAGAAGCAGCAGATGAGGAAAAGTATCTCGTCTCTATTTAAAAATGTGTGTCAGTGTATTGTGCGACAGCCGAGGCAGCGACAAAAATAATAAATAATAGCTCCCGCTGCTGCTGCTGCTTCTGAAAACAGTTTGGCGTCTTTGCGGTCTTTTAATTGTGTCGTGCCATTGTTTTATAATTTTCCCATCATCATTCAAGACGCGTTCTGTGCCGAATAACAGCGAATTGCCAACAACAACGCCCCGTTTTTTGCCAAGGAAGTTGCTTGGTTTTCTATCTCCCTCTCTGTCTGGCCCACGCACTATGACCGCTCCTGGCTATTGGAATAGTTGGTATGTGAAAGACTCTGCAAGAGCACTACAACTCACAATGAAGCACGAAAATAAGTGCGATATGTCCGTTTCACACTGGATTTTGTCACCCTGTGGTAGCTCGCCGCACACACACATTCTCACCTGAGCCAACTCCGCCATATGTCCGCCTGTCTGTCTGCGTTTCTATTTTCCTTAACACATTCCACCCCATTGGCATGGCTGCTTCTCCGCGTACAGCTGCAGTCAATATAGTAGTAATGGATTTCGGGAAACGACCATACAGAAGCGTTCGTTCCTTTACAGTCGCGTTGTTTTTCCCACAACTGTGCAACCCTTTAATGACCAGTCTTTTATTCATTAGCTATGGTACTACAGCTACAGTGGCTCACAGCTTATTTCAACCAGACCCAATCAAAAACTTTAAATGCCTGTAAAACATAAACCAAAGGGTTTTTCCAAAAAATTTAAACGCACAATGATAAATTTATGTTTAAACTTAATATTTGTTAACTTCGTGTATTTTTATATATTTTTTTATATATATTTTTTTAATTAACAACAAAAAACAACGAAAAACAATGCCACAGCTTATTCAACCAGGTCGGTACTTCTATGTATTTTTAATGCTTAAAGATTACCAATATTTTTTTTAATATTTGGTATGGCCACCTTTGCTATCCATAACCATTTTAAGCCTTTTTGGCATGGAATCCACCAGTTTTTGGGTTGTTTCTTGGGCTATTTTGGCCCACTCCTCTATCAACGCCTCTTTCAGGTCCGATTTATTCGAAATCTTTCGTTTTCGAATATTTGTGTCCACAATTGCCCACAAATTTTCAATCACATTCATGTCTGGCGACTGTGCAGGCGGCTGCATAACGTGCGGGCAGTTCCAGTAAAGCCAAGCCTGAACAATGCCCGACTTATGTTTCGGATCGTTGTCTTGGTAGAAACGAAAATCTTCCCGAATACCAAGTCCCTCGGCGCTTTCGATCAATTTTTTTTTAATCTCAAGATATTGAGTTTTTTTCATTGTGGTATCAATAAACTCGAGATTTCCAACACCTGCTGCCGACATACAGGCCCATACCATAACGCTTCCCCCGCCATGCTTAACTGTCGCTTTTAGATTATTTGTTTGCAGCTCAGTATTCGGCTTTCGCCACACATAGGATGCACCATCTGAGCCAAATATATTGAACGTTGACTCTTCCGCAAATATGACTGTATTCCAGAATGAAGAATCCTTTTCTAAGTGCTCTTTTGCAAAATTTAAGCGTCTCTTGATATTCTTGGCACTAATGATCGGCTTCTTCCGTGCTATTCTGCCATTATAGTCATGCTCTCGGAGCACACGACGAATTGTTTCTGGGTGGCAGGACTTGCCCAACTCGGTCTCGACCTCACTTGCAATTTTCGGTGCCGATAATTTGGGATTTTCCCGAATTTTCCGGACTATATGGCGCTCGTCTGTTGGGTTCAAAATTTTGTTGGGCGCCGTTCTTCCCTTATCGTGCACCCTATTCTCACGGACAAAACGGTATATGATACTACGGAGCAGTGGAATCACTTAGACCAACCATTTCGGCAATTTTCCTACGCGAATTTCCATTTTTTAAAATGTTTTATCACGAGTTCTCGCTGTTCGATTGTTGTACGTGGTCCCATTTTTCTTACCGAATTTTCGCGCACTAAATTCTTGCCAAATTTTCCAAGAATAAGCTTGAACCAACTCCGAATAGATTGACCAAAGCACAGAAAAAATTAGAACCCCTACTTTTTTAAGTAACAGTGTATAGCAAAACTGCAAACTTTTTGGTTGAAATAAGCTGTGGCCTTGTTTTTCGTTGTTTTTTTGTTCTTAATTTAAAAAGAAATATTAAAAAAATATATAAAAATACATGAAGTTAACAAATATTAAGTTTAAACATAAATCTATCATTGTGCGTTAAAATATTTTGGAAAAACCCTTTGGTTTATGTTCTACAGGCATTTAAAGTTTTTGATTGGGTCTGGTTGAAATAAGCTGTGAGCCACTGTACATAAAAGAATGTTTATTTTTATTGTATTGTACGGTATATGGTACCAGTTATAGGGCCGATAGTAAGTTCAGGTTATAAGGTTTATAAATTTTATATATTGCAATTCAATATTTTGCCTTAGCGTGATTAATAAGGGGCATTTCCCCCAGTATGTCTAAGCTGTTACTCATTTCTAAACTTAAAACCTATAATTTTTACCACAACTGTAATCGGTTTGTCGCAAAAAAAAAAACGGAAAGGAAATATGTATTTTTCTTTACTTGTTTTAATGTTTAGGTGTGGTCATGCTTTAGTTGCGGGCTTACCACATCCAGTTTTGTGAATTTTTTCAAGCGGAAGCGGCTCTAAAAAGTTTTCGTGCCGTTGTCCACACAGTTGACATTGAACTCTCGCCAGTCTCTCTTCGTAGCTCTCTCCTCCAAGGCCCGAATCCCTTACCCGCTCTCCCCGCCGCCTACTAACTGGAATTTGACTTGCTCTGTTACTTTCCAAAAAAGCACACTCCTGGCCTTTCAATTTCTTCGTTTATCGGCCACATTTACTGTTTTATAAAGTAGAGTTTTGTGAAAGGAGATTTGCCAAAGGAATTTTGTGCTAAAGAGAGGTGGAAAGCAAATAATGTTCAATTTGGGAAAAGGAAATAATTAAACATCAACATCAGCCGATGAGACCTATTCTTTTTCTAAAGATCTTTAGGACTACTGCAGTTGCAGCAATAAGGTTTCGATTAGACTAGTATAAGCTGCACACAAACAAAGCTGGTTTATAAAGTGTTGTCACGCCCACCTGAATTGCCCCAATTGGTCTAGCTCAAATCTACACATTCTAGAATTATTATAACATTAGTCATTGATCAAACATGCACTATTGTGCTACAAATGTTTTGCAAGCTAACTTGTCCCATAAAAATAGTTTACAATTACTATATAGTTTTTATATAATTGAACAATTTTGTTCTATAACATTTATACTAATAGTTTTGCCACCTAGTTCTGTGCCTAAATGGTTTTTTTTTTCAGTGTCTAGTTATCTCTAGTGTGGGAGGCGGTGTAAAAGAATTAGAAAAACAGGTGCGTTACTGATGTCGAGTACATCGACTATTAGATACACTGTATCTACAAGTATAAAAAGGTTCATAAGCAAAAAAAAATTAAACACTTTTATATATTGTTTCATTAATTGTATTATTTGAAGTATGAGACAGCATTCTTGGCTCAAACTGACTCATTTTTTGGTCCCGAACTTGAGTGGGAAGCTTTCTCGTTGTTATTATTATGTGATTTGTAAAGATATGTATGTTGTACAGTGGTCTTATATGCAAGAATATGTAAGTATGTACAGCTACTTCTATTGTTATTATGTGGCTCACGTTGTTGAAAAAAGATTCGCGCCGCGACTGCGCACGATTATGCCACATTTCGAATGACGAGAGCACAGTTGAATGCGCTGCGTCCGCCTGTTGCAGAAAACGTGTCAAGTTTTCCAGATACATCTACTATATGTTCGTTTTCTGCTTTTCCATGAGGCTATGTGCAAGAGCATAACCGTGCTGCCCCAGCAAGAGCCCGATTTGAGTTCGATTAATTTCGTTGCGCCTCGGTAACTGTGCACTCAACTCAAACATCCGCTCAAACGGGTGGCAAGCTCACAGTAACTCCTTGGCCAACGCAACGATACTACTATGAGAGGGAACGTTGTTCCCTCACAATGTCAGCCTGGCCTCTAGTTGCACACTATCGTATAATACTCGAATACCTTCGCGGCATTCTTTAAACCCTAGAAACAGTACTATATTACATAGTCTCGACTATCAGATACCGTATACACTCTTTACAACAAATTCGGACTTAAAAGTAATTGCGTTGAAATTGTTTTATATATACCACATAATCATACCCTATATAAAATATTTATGCACGGTGCTTGTATGCACCCTAGCCAGTTTTATTAAGGGAGGGAAGTCGTTAATAGGTTATCTGCAAGTCGCCTACTGAAACACAATATCTGGTATTTAGTTTCTGTATTCTGAGCAGACATTCGCTCTTTAATTTCTCCGGTTTTGTGGCGCCAAAACTCCAGAGTTTCGTTGTAAGC